CCCCCCCCAAAAAAAAAAAAAAAAAAAAAAAAAAGAAGTGCAAGATCTGACAGCTATGGGGATACAACAAGGTAAAGATAAACGCTGTTGAAGCCTTGAAGGACACCATGGTTAAGAATACCTCTACCAAAAAAAACCATCAGAATAACTCTGTAAATACTAAATAGCCGTCCTCGACGATAACGAGTAAGAACAGTGACTCTATCAAAAACTGTCAGAAAAAAGTTCAGAAAACTTTATAAAAAACCAATCTTTGAAAGTAACGGACGAGTAAGAATAAGTTGAATAACTCTTATAAAAAAAAACCGTCAGACTAAACTAAATAAAAAAACCGTACACGAGCTTCTATCCGTCAGAACTTAACTTGATATAAAACCGTACAGAACTTAACTTCCCAAAGAAAGCTCTGAGCAAAACCTGCGTAAACTGACAGTTGAGCAATGTCGAAACCCTCCTCATGAAAAATACGCACACGGAGACATACATGATACAACTCGTTATATTCAAGGGGACACTGGACCCAGTTTCCAGCACGTGCAGCTCCTCAGCAATAGATCGGAGGATTCACGGATTCGGAGCTGGCTGTGGGAAGCACCACAGGGAGCAGCTGCTCTTGTCAGCGGCCTCTGTGGCACTTGAAGCAGGAGGTTAAAAAAAAAAAAAAAAAAAAAAAAATGCAAGCACATTCTGGTAAAGAGTATTCGACTAGGCAAAATCTCAAGGAGATGGGAGACATACATGTGGCACACATTCTATGAATGGTGGAGACACATACCTCAAGTACTGTGTGAGGAAGGCGAGTGCCAAATAGATCTAGTTAGACATCGCACCGAAGCAGCGAGCGATCATAATGAATGCACACTAAGCTGTTGGAAAGCAAGTGCCATATAGATCTAGCTAGACATCGCATCGAAGCAGCGAGCGATCCTAATGAATGTACACCAAGCTGTTGCTTCATTCAACAGCTCATCGTGCAAGCGCTAATCACGGCAAACCAACCAAGCGGAGTATAAGGTAAAGGGGTTCTCGAACCCAAGAGGGAACGAAAAAGTGGGGGCCTGGGTGTGTGTGTGGGAGGGAGAGGAGGGAACAAAACTAAATGCATGCCGGACAGCCAAGTGACATCAGGAGCAGGACATTATAAAGAGATGCAAGAGGGAAGCTGGCCGGGCAAACGACAAACTCGGCACCGAGTCGGCGGATAGACAGTGTCTTGAAAATGCGAAGGGACGGTACAGAGGGTGTCTAAGCTTGCCCTGAGAACTGATTCAGCAGCACCTCAACGTCGACGGGAGGAAAATACTTGCGCAATGCGCATAAGACAAGCAGTGTCGCACATATGTAATACTCATCAAATGTAATGGTACTACGGACGGTCTTATCAGGAAGAGGCCTCCAGATGAACACCATCAAGTCTATAGGGGATCTTAAGAAGTTTAAATAGTTATGTAAACAAGAGTGGTGGTAGGTGTCCCGTCTGTGTTCGGGCAGGTCCATAAAAAAAAAAAAGAAGTAGAAAAAAAAAGAAGTAAAAAAGTGTGGTAGCTTTGTCACCCTATCATTTATATAATATATATGTACAAACAGTACAATGCTATAACCCAAGCTTTATGGCTTTCCCTTACTGCTCAAGCTGAAGACACAGGTTTCAATCCCGTAAGGGATATAATACCGATATATGCTATTGAGCCGTAAGGGAGACTGAATCTGCAGAATATCAGGTATCAGGTCCTGCCAGGCAATGGTGGCAATTTGCAGGGAGTCCGAAGTAGAACTGGGGTAGGAGTACACGAAGGAGGTGGTGGGGTAGGAGTACACGAAGGAGGTAGTGGGGTAGGAGTACACGAAGGAGGTGGTGGGGTAGGAGTACACGAAGGAGGTGGTGGTTAACGCGGTAGGAGGGGTAGAAAGGGGGCCCAGGTGAACTAAGGGTGCCCCTGCTGCACATCACTAAAGGATAAGCATGTTCCTGTGCCATTGACGGCCCATGTAGAAACATAATCTGTTCGATCGAAATAAGACCAAAAGGCTTAAAATGATCCAACAGGGGGGGAGGACTACGAATCCGCATAGACTACAGGGGTATGGAGCCACCCGCTATGCTATAGCTGTGTGCAGGGAAGGAGCCACCCCCTGCGCTCCTGAACGAGCTTCAAAACATGGTAATGATTTGCCGACTCTGCGGCAATGTTCTTTCTGTCCGCCGAGAGCAAATTGCTGAACGCTTGAAGCTGATAACCACTTCGTTAAAGCAACGGGGGCAGTCAGATAACCACTTTGTTCGACCAACGGGAATGTATTTGGGATAACTTAGTGGGTACATCCATGAACAGTTGAAAATTGAAATACAGCCCCATGTTCGAATCCAGATGCAGAGTCGGATAACCACTTCGGTTGACCAAGGGGGATGTATTTGGGATAACTCAGTGGGCACATCCATGAAGTGTTGGAAATTGAAATTCATCCCCGTGTTCGAATCCAGATGCATATAGTCAGATGACCACTTGGTTCTATCATATGCGTCACAAGACTGCGTGTTGCGGCATCGGGATGGATGCCATGGGGATGATACACCTTTTCTGCGATGTTTGCGGAATCTTCTCGGCTCCGTGGCCAGGGAAAGAGTTCTTTTCTTGTGCGGTAGACGTTCCGCACAGCTGCCTCAGTTTGACACAGCATAGGGGCCGGCATTTGGTGCCATGCTGGCCACCCACTTCGGCGGCTCGATCCCCGTCTGCTCCTGGATTGTTGAGAAAAGCGGAGGAAGGCTCTGGAAAATGTCGTGGATCGGCTTAAGGGAGGCAGAGCCCTCTGCTTTACCATCGGTCCCGGTCCCACCTGTGGTCCAGACGGTGATTTTCGGGTTAAGCCCTTGGATGGCCTTGGCATTTGCGGCCGCCAGCTCTTGGAACATCCTCTTCTCGATCATCACGTACTGCAGAGTCGCCGAAATATCTCCGTTGAAGGCCGAAATGAGTTCGCGCATTCCGTCCGCTTGAGCCTTGGCGATCAGGTAAAGTCCCTCCGCCTGCTTCTGTTGGCTGTAAAGACTACCATCAGCCCTCTTCTGCATCTCCAAAAGTGCGCCCTCTGCCTCCTTCACCTTGGCATACAGCGCAGCTTCTGCTGCTTTTTGTTCCTTGTACAGACTGGCATCTGATTTCTGTCAAATTACAGGGGGGGGGGAAGGGGGGGGGAAGGGGGGGGGAAGACGACAGAGCACATAGCATAAGCACCACAAGCTAGCACATAAAACATCTCTTTGGCTACTGTGTTCACCCAAATGCAACGTATGGTCATTATTGCTGTATTAAGACTCAAAAAAAACGTTGGCCCAAACACAGCTGTAATGACCGTACGTTGCATCCGGATAAACACGTCCATCACTCAGCTCAGATACAGAGATGATTGTTCTTGGCTGCCTTCTTCCCCCTAATACAACGTACGGTCATTATAGCTGGGTGTATTTGGGGTACTATCGTTCAGTCTAGCTACAGCTATAACAACCGTACGTCGTATTCGGGAGAAGAAGGTAGTCCTTACTCAGGAAGATAAGGGTAACGAGAAACAATATTCGAAGCTTGGAATATCCTTGACCACACATATATAAGTATTGAGGGGAGCACTTGTTCAAAAAAAAAAAAAAAAAAAAAAAGAGTATTGAGGGGCTAGAATGTTGCAAAAGGGAGTGGACCTGGTCGCAAGAAACCTACAGGGAGGCTCTGACAATTGCACTGTACACGATTCGATTTGGGCTTTAGGGTTTAGGGTTTAAAATCCTCGTACGGTTCAAAGTGGGGAAAAACAAAGGAACCGAACTGATGCTCGCCAGGATGGTGAGCATGGAGCCAGACCCGGATGCTGACTTTTTTTTTTGTTTGTTTGGGGGGGAGGGGGGGGGGGGGTGTGGAGGGGGAAACAGGTCCGTATGGTCCTGGCTCCATTCTGTTCTGGAGAGTGTCAGTCCGGTTACTTTTCAGTGGCAAGTAACATGTGCGAGAGGGGGTTAACGGAGGCCCTGATTTTCAGACAATTTGTCATGCCATTTATAACAAAATTCAAGGGTCATTTTAACCAAACTTGCCACCAAGTCATAGAGTAGAGACCATGCTAGTAACTAATTGCAACAAAAAAAATGAAAAAAGAAAAAAAACTATAAAACAGCAAGGCAAAAGTGCACTTTCATGATAAGGTCCTGCTTTAAAAAAAAAGAAAAGGGAAATAAACTGCCCACCATACACGGTCACAGCACTACCGTCTTCACCTGAATAGAACGCCTGGTCAATATTATCACCGCATCTGCACCAAAAGTTGTGCCAAGTACAGGAATAATGACCGGGCGTTCTATCAGCCGCAGAAAAACAACAGAGTAGAAATGTTTCTAGTCGGAGGAACTCGGGCGCTCCTGTAGTGGCCCCTACGTTTCCTAAGATCGTGACTTGTTAACGGGCACGACTTTAGGAAGTACTGGTGGTAAAAAAAAAAAAAAGATAAAAAAAAAGCATGGCCCCTACGCAAGAATGACATGCATAAATCGGGAAATGGTCAAAATTACAAAAAAAAGAAAAAAAAAAGGTCACGCACAGGAAAGAGTGCGGGTGACAAACTCGTCATCTACCATGGTTGCAATTGTCATTCATTTATACCACAATTGCCTATCTCAGAATGCACTGGGAGAAAAAAAATGGGGGAAATTTGCGTTATACCACTCAAAGATGAGATATATGCGAAAATGCCCCTAAAGCATGTTGGTCGAGCGGAATACCCTTCTGACAATTAAGAATGTCGGACCCGCCATCTTTGCAATGTACCCTTACTGGGCACCGTTCCATCTTTTGAAAGTACCCCAAAACATGCCAACTTTCAAAGGACCCGATTAATTTTCAGTTTACCCCTACCGGCGTCATCTTCTCAATCCACCCCCCTGGCTGTTGGGCCCAAACGACTCTCTCTCTCTCTCTCTCTCTCTCTCTCTCTCTCTCTCTCTCTCTCTCTCTCTCTCTCTCTCTCTCTCTCTCTCTCTCTCTCTCTCT